ATGGCTGCGGACCACGTGGCAAGGGCGGAAAAATGGCCGCGGACCACGTTGCACGGGCAGAAAATGGCTGCGGACCACGTGGCACGGGCGGAAAATGGCTCGTAACCCGGGGCGGAGTTCGCAAACCGAGGTAAAATTTTGGGGCCAGAGCTGGTCGTAACCCGAAAAATTCGCAAGCAGAGGCGTTCGTATCCCGAGGTATCACTGTAGTACCTGTTGGCACCTTCTTAAATCAAACATGACTTTTCCAAAAGCCACATGAGCTGCTTTTTTAAGAGTTGCCCACAGGTGCTACGTCAACCCCCATGTCCTCCAAATCATCTTTTCCCCTTTGAATCTGGACTGCTGCGCAGTGCTAATACCTATTCATGCAAGGCATAAGATATTGTGAATGTGTAACCCTTTCATCCTGGCAATGGACAAGAGTCAAACTATGCTTAATGTAAACATGGCCAGTGGATAAGTATGTAATAAGTGACAAGGTAGACTTATGGATATATACAAGTTATCAAATTGTGCTAGTTTTATGAACAAATTCTTGTCTTGTTCTTCTGGAATTCACCCTTCACAACTTTTTCTACCAGTCGTTTGCAATAAGCATGACTGCCAGTTGACCATAGCTACAAGACAAAGATCAGCTAATACAAAGTCATTTTTTTCTCTCAAGTTAGAAGTTTTTATTCTTGGTAAAAATAATTTTGTTCTAGAAATAAAATTAAAATCCTTCAGGGTAACAGTCTATAAATTTGAATGTATTTACAACAGGCTTTTAGGATGATTATTTTTCTTACTGTAGGAAACAGCTATAAACAGAAGGCAGCAGATTTTCAATAGGCATATTTGAAACAGTTGTCAACTTTAATAGGGCTAGGACAATTGAAGAGGCTGACACAATCAATATTTAAGATTAAGATTATTTTATGTGAAGACAGAAATTTCTTGCCTGTTAAGATATGCTAGTATATAATAGATGAGCTTGTTTTCCCCACCACCATCACCAACTTCGTTGATTTCAAGGTGAATAAAGTAGAGATATACAATTAAGTGGCTGTTCAGAGACTTGGACTAGAAAAATGTAATTTAAAGGGGTAAACACTTAATTCAAGGTAGCTTGGTCCTAATAATATACCTGGAACTAATTCATATTAAAATTATTTGCTTTGTATGAAGCCAGTTAAATAATATTGCAGTTAAAAAGGCCTAATTACTATCTGCTTTCTGCTATAATTTGAGGATACTATAACTAGCATGATTATCCTTTGCCAGTAAATTGATAGCTCTCACTGATGAATACTCATTCAGAATTCAGAATCTGGGAATACTAGCGATCAATTTTTACATTACAGGCAGTGTAAAAAACAATTGCATGGAAGAAATATTTTGTGAATAAAGTTTTGCCTATGGAAGTTGTTTGGACAGTGGAAAAATCTATTGGATTTTACTCCTGGTTGTTAAATTCCAGATTTGGGATGTATCACAACTTTCAAAGTGAATTTTGTATTATCCTCTTCAAGTCCTTTTTGACAGCCCCCAGAGATAGAGCTGCTTTAAGGAGATACATTTCTGATAACCACATTGTTTCATAAAACAAATGATACCATTTATTAAATAGCAAACATTCAGACTGACAAGCAAATTTCATGTAAAACAACATCTATGTACATAGCAATTTAATATATATACTGCTGTACGGCCAAG